AACTCTCAGTATAAAGAGACTCTAGGTTGAACCGCGATTCGCCCTTGTTTCGTGGCCGCGCGCCGGTCCGCGCCGCAGTCAGCTCGGAGTGTGAGCGGGGCTCAACCCAACAGGCGCTGCTGTGTCGTTCGCCGTTCCCGTTCCACCCCGACGTACCCTTTCCTTTCCCGAGTTGCAACTTTCGGTCTCGACCGTACACATCCGCGGTGCAACGTCCGTTTCAGTTAACGACCCCCTACCCCTTGACACCGCTGCAGGGACCGTCGACGATCCAACCCCCACCCAACACCCCCGACCGCGTTCTGAATTTCCACTCCTGCTGAGTACGGGATGCCAGCGACGCTGATTCGAGTATCGTATACGCTCTCTCGGCTAACCTACAATCCCGATCGAGGAACGGTTCACAGTGGCGTGGCGTGCTTTGCGATATATCGATTGATCTGCCGTTTAAACCTGTGGTAAAGGATCGATAAGCGGTGGCTCGCAACCAACACCTTAATAATCGATTCTTTGCCATAGCTTTGAATGGGGAAATATCGATGATGGATCATTCACGTCTCGCCACTAGTTTAGAGTACCTATATTGAGAGAGTATGGCCACTGGAGTTACCACCTCTGATTGGCTCAGCCATCTTAGGCTGAATGGAGCCCTTAGGACCCAAAAATGGCGGACGCCATAAAGTTAATGTAATGCAAAATGATTCAAAATGTAGTTGTCTTTGCTTATCGTAACGAGAGCTTTACCCAAATGCACTGTCAGCAAAACTTTCCCCTTAATTTGTATTATAGTCCAAATTATTATCGTTTTCTTTAATATCTATATATTACGCACTTTCACTGTAAGTGTATTTCATAACTGTGTAATTTATTGCGACAATAAACAATAAACAATAAAAAAAAAAAAAAAAAAAAAAAAAACCCAAATGCACTATTGCGACTTTTTTACATATTTTTAAGGCTAATCGTGTGCGATTTTTGAGAAAAATGATCTTAGATGTCGTAAGGTTGGCAGCAAGTGCGGTTGGTGATAACCGTCAAAAGTTGGCAATGACCCCCCTCCCATCCTCAAAAACCAAAACAAAGCACCGCCATTTTTGGGTCCTAAGCCTCTCCATGGGACCCAGTGGCCATACTCTCTTAATATAGGTACTCTACACTGGTTCACCCATCCGAGAGTTAGACATGTAAGATTATATCGATGATCGAGAAACGAACCATTGGACAAGGTGCGAGTTCAGGCATGCTTATATCGACGGCTGAAGTGTAGTATCACGTACCTCCATTGAAGCGTTTCAAAATTTCGGCTCCTATTTTATTTTTTCGAAGAGTAAAGTGTCAATTATATAACTTGAAATTTTTATTGAAAATTACGCTGATAGGGGAGAAAATTCATGATAGTTTTCAAGAAATTAAAGTGATTAGTTTTCTGAGAAAGAAAAATTAATTGTAAGTCTGCAACTTTGCAAACGGAGATATGTCGCTCCGCACTTAAACCCTTGATATGTATTAAAATTCCAATTACGTAAAGCACGTTTGCATTACGAAAATTACTGAAATCAACTCCCAACGAAGGTATTGACGCTTTCTTTAGCATTGCTTACGAAAAATTTTGATTTCCCACACACATGAAAAATCATTGTCTAGTTAAATCAAATTGCGCGCTGTAATGGGTTTCACAGACTTTATAATCAAGCAGTGTTCTTTCCCGCGCGGCTCTGTGTTGTTTGAAGTGTCCGAAGTGTAAAGAGTAAATAGTGTATTTTCAGAAAATACACTAAAAACCAGGAACAGCGGGGCCGGAGCGCCAGAACTTAAACTGTTTTACTTTCATATCGACGGTGAAACTACCAAACCACGTATCTCGGTTTGCGACGTAGCAGACTTCCTGTCATACTTTATTTTTTAAATGAAAAACTACTCAACGTCCAGTCTTGAAAGTTTCTGTGATTTTTCCTCTTCGTGCGAAGAAAATTCTGTGAAAATTTCAAGGAATGATATTGATTTGGTCCACCTCAAAAAAATAAAATGCGAGCGTAGATTTTTAAACACCGCAAACGAGATACGTGGTTTGGTAGTTTCACCGTCGATATACAGCAAATTATGCCACGGTAACGTCTAATGTTCGATTTCACTTAAGTAGATTCTGTTTTTTTTTTTTGGGCGCGCGAAGTATGAGTTTGACCATCGAAGAAAGTTAATAGGTATCTTCGTTGGGAGTTACTTTCAATAATTTCCGTCGTTTAAATCTCGTTCTACGAAAAACTGTGTAAAGAAACATACATTCGAATGCTTAAATCCTCATCTTGTCGGGTGATACAACTGGTACATCCATGATTTCGCGATCAGCTACGGTATCAGGCGCTTGCATACAACTATACCTGCTCGATGGATGTGCTAATTGCATAAACAAATTTCATGAAGGCGCTTTTATTTTCTTAAATTCATGACAGCCGCGCGCGAAGCAAGTGTCCTTGTCTAGGAGTCTATTCTATTGAAAATAATCAATTCAAAATCAACGGACGGCCTGAATAATCGATTCAAAGATTTTGTGATAAAATGGGTCTTATTTGTGCAGTTTTTGGGGGGAACGAAGGGATTTTGTTCAAATGTGCCCGTATCAAAGCCATATGATGAGACAAATCTCAAATGACAGTTCTAACTTGAGTTCAAAGCTCGTTTAGGCAATACAGCGTTGCAAAGTTTACATTTATTATTACTGAATTACAATATTTTCAAGTTCTTCAGTTTAAAAAAAAAAAAAAAACAACTTTAGTTGATTCCTTTTCTGAGGCACAGTAATAGCAACTGGTTATATTAAGACTCGGGAAATAAAAAGGGATCAAATTTATTTTTTTTCTCTTTCTTTAACTGACGAACTTAAAATGTTTGCACTTTTCAATGGTGAAAAATGTACAAATTACAGCTTTGTGCTGCCAAAACGAGCAAAAACTTTCACTCGAGGTTCATTTCATCATGAACTTTCGTTTAGGACACAATTAAACAAAATCCCTGAGTTACACCCCTACCCCCTCCTGAAAAAGGGCTAATTTTTTGCAGATTTTTTCGTTGTGAGCAGGCAGCATGCCAATAGGTAGGAATTATCTCGAAACAAGGGTAAAAAATTATTGATTTCTGAGAAGGTGGGGGGGGGGGTAANGCCACGGTAACGTCTAATGTTCGATTTCACTTAAGTAGATTCGGTTTTTTTTTTTTTTTGGGCGCGCGAAGTATGAGTTTGACCATCGAAGAAAGTTAATAGGTATCTTCGTTGGGAGTTACTTTCGATAATTTCCGTCGTTTAAATCTCGTTCTGCGAAAAATTGTGTAAAGAAACATACATTCGAATGCTTAAATCCTCATCTTGTCGGGTGATACAACTGGTACATCCATGATTTCGCGATCTACGGTATCAGGCGCTTGCATACAACTATACCTGCTCGATGGATGTGCTGATTGCATAAACAAATTTCATGAAGGCGCTTTTAATTTTCTTAAATTCATGACAGCCGCGCGCGAAGCAAGTGTCCTTGTCTAGGAGTCTATTCTATTGAAAATAATCAATTCAAAATCAACGGACGGCCTGAATAATCGATTCAAAGATTTTGTGATAAAATGGGTCTCATTTGTGCAGTTTTTGGGGGGAACGAAGGGATTTTGTTCAAATGTGCCCGTATCAAAGCCATATGATGAGACAAATCTCAAATGACAGTTCTAACTTGAGTTCAAAGCTCGTTTAGGCAATACGGCGTTGCAAAGTTTACATTTATTATTACTGAATTACAATATTTTCAAGTTCTTCAGTTTAAAAAAAAAAAACAACAACAACAACTTTAGTTGATTCCTTTTCTGAGGCACAGTAATAGCAACTGGTTATATTAAGACTCGGGAAATAAAAAGGGATCAAATTAATTTTTTTCTCTTTCTTTAACTGACGAACTTAAAATGTTTGCACTTTTCAATGGTGAAAAATGTACAAATTACAGCTTTGTGCTGCCAAAACGAGCTAAAACTTTCACTTTGAGGTTTATTTCATCATGAACTTTCGTTTAGGATACATTTAAACAATATCCCTGAGTTTCGTCCCCCCCTCCCGAAAAAGGGCTCATTTTTTGCAGATTTTTTCGTTGTAAGCAGGCAGCATGCCAATGGGTAGGAATTATCTCGAAACAAGGGTAAAAAATTATTGATTTCTGAGAAGGGGGGGGGGGGGTAACTCAGACAGAATAGCTTTCAATTAATTTGCCCGTGGGTGATAAATTAATCAAATAAATCAATTTCCTCAAGAATAAAAAAAAAATCAACATCGATTCGATTACCCTTGAAGCACACATGCTTTTAGCATTGCACGCATGTTTTGATGTTTTTTCAAGAAAATTTAATTCAGAACGCAATAGATATACTAAAATATAAAAAGTCAACACATATGAGAGATAAGCACTTTTAGTCTGAAAGCATTGGTAAATTCGAATTTCCTGTTGGTGGAAAAAAATTGAAATCGACCCCTAAGTAGCACAGGCTGCAATGAATTACCATTACATGATAAAATTAATGCTATTACTTCGGGTTGTTATGGGCATCGTCTATTCACTAACTGAAGTAGCTCCTCATATTGAAATTCATTAAAATGAAATTGAAAGAAGTTGCAGTTCTTTTCCACTGGAAATTGCCGACCATTTTCTCACATGACATAAAATTTTGTGAGATCTTCAGATATTTTTTTCTCCCTATTATGTATGTCATAAAATTTAAATTTAATCTAATTTAAAAATGGCGGTTGAAATTGGTCTTTTCTGAGTTTAACCATCAACACTGGTAATCAATCTTTGAGGGATTAATTCGTATAGGTACACAATGCTCTAAGAAACCAAAAACGAACCTGGCAGGTTTGTGCATATCACGGAAAATCGTTGGGTCACCTCGAGGGAGAAATTCAGACCTCCAAGTCCATTCCCTTCAATGGCATTGCCCTTGATTAAAAATGATCAAAAAACTTTCTTACCTGATTTTGTTTAGTGCAGCATTGAATTTTCTTCCAACCGGAGGTGTTGATGATTTTACAGCTTCCGTCATTGATAAAAGATAATTTCAGATTGGGCAAGAGAATGACACGTTTTCCATTTTCTTTCAGATTTCCCGAAGACATGATGTTCAGGGTTCTTCAAGGGATGATGATATGGTTCTTTTCTTGGTATGGAAGACTCCTTCTCCACAGAATTAGGAACATCGAGGGTAGATTTGCTACCAAGCATTAACTGGACGTATTTCTATCAAACGGAACTAAGCGCTATAGGGGGAGGAAGGGAGAGGGGGGCTTTGGATGGAACGCGAGTTCGTTCCGTTCTATACTCGCGATGCTTTTCAATGGCGCTTAGTTCCGTTTGACAGAACGCGCTATCCGGGATTCTAAAATCCTCGAAAGAAACTCAATTTGGCGCTTAGTTCCGTTTAACAGAAATACTTCCAACTGGCACCGTTGGAGCTTGGAGAACATTGTACTTGGAGATTAGTTCCATGGGTGGCGTGCAAGTCTGAGCACAATCGTTGCTAAGTGGCGCCTGCCACACGCCTGGCTGAGCTCGTCAGGAAACATGACCACAGGTCTGGTCTGACCTAGACGGCGATAAAATTGTAAAAAAAAGAGATTTTTGAATGTTGAGAGGAGGAATTTAGGATTGAGCGCGGACAGAGCTCCTCTCGTGCGAGATGAATGTTCGGGATGCGACCCGAGGTGTTGTGGGTGTGGATGTCCGCGCGACCGAGATCTCCTCTCATTCGTGGAGTTTGAGGTGCTCCTTGAGGTCGCGCTTCCGCTTGAACTTGGCCGGGCAGGCGGTGCAGTTCCAGGGTCGGTTGGCGGGCCTGAAATGGGCGTGCATGTGCGTCTTGAGGTGTCGCCGCTGCCGGAACTTCTCCGAGCAGAGCGGGCACTGGGACGGGCGCTCGACGATGTGCGAGCGCTTGTGGAGCGCCAGGTGATTCGGCCTCCCGAAAGCTGCGGGGCACATGTTGCAGACGTATCGCTTCACTTCGTGCTCCTCCCGAACGTGCTTGTTCAGCTCGCACTGCGCTGCGAACTTGGCCGGACATTCCGAGCAGCCCACCTCCGCTCTCACCATGTGTACCTGTCACGGTAAACAAATCAGATATCAATACTGGCTCTCACCGTGTGTACCTGTCACAGCAAACAAATCAGATATCAATAAAAGCATAGGCGGTTCTACGGGGGTGCCAGTGGGTGCCGGGAACCCCCCAGCAAAAATTAAGTACGGTTACCAGAACCGTGAAAGAGGCTGTTGGGTAAGTAAAAACGTCGAGAAAAAATCGTATTACGATGCCCAAAAAATTGGCAATATTTTTATTTCATGAATTTGCTGAACATTTTCTACATTGAATTTATAGGTATTTAAGTAGAAAGGAAGGAGAGAAAAAGAGAAAGGAGGGAAGGAAAGGGATAAAACTTGAGGGCCGAAACTTAGGCCTCCCCTGAGCGACCGTCCCCTTCGAGGCCGGTCTCCGACATTTTCCACCTCTGGGCATCCCCAAGCATGAAGGTCTAGAACCGCCTGTGAATTAAAGTTCTCACCATGTATACCTGTCACAGCAAACAAAACAGATATCACTTCAAGTTCTCACCACGTGTCACAGCATAAACAAAACAGATATCATTACATGCCGAATTTCTGTGGATTCCCGGACGTTTTTCCTGATTTGTCTGACACAAAAAAATTTCCCCCGACATTTCCCGGTCGCTGGACGACCTGTTATATACAGTTGGATGTATTCCTGCCGAACGGAACCAGGGAGATGCGGAAAAGAAGGGATGCGCTCGTCAGCTGAGGGCCATAAGAATGGTTAGGAATTACAAAGCGCCGATGACGTCAGCTGCTACGAAGCCGCCGCTGCGGTTCCGCACGGAGGCCATTAACTCATGAGAACTATATCCACTTTTACACTGTTTCTTATGCAGCTTGCACGAGCACACTCCATCTTTCTACTTAGGCCTTGTCTCCACGAGCCGTTTCACGAGATTTGTCCCAGGGAAAAATCCCACTTACGAAGTTGGGAAAAATATTGAGTTAATCAATATTTTTCCCAGTACCAACTATGGTACTTGTACCCCTAGGATCCACTGAGAGAAGAAGAAGAAGTGAAAACGAATCGTGCGATATTTTATTCATTACTACATTGTTAATGTTTGTTTAGTTAAAAAATGTGTGTAATTGTCATTTGAGTGCAATTATTATTTTAATCCCGGTTAAATACTCGACTTTAACTAATTTATCTTCCCGCGCAAACTAGTCGCAGGACTGTATGAGCCCCGTCCCGTGGAGACGGTAACTGGGAAAAATCCCAGAAGTTTCATTCCTGCGATTCGAACTTGGGACAAATCCCATGAAAACGTCCCGTGGAGACAACGCCTAACACACAGCTCCTTTTAGCATAAATACGCCCATTTGTCGATGTTTTTTCCTTGTTTATTTACCTTGACATCCTTGGCGTCCCGGATCTGCGTCATACAGCGCTCGCAGAAGGACTCCTTGGCATGGAGCGTCTCGATGTGGTCGTTGAGCATCTCGCGGAACTTGAAGTTTTTCGGGCAGAAGGGACATCCCAACGGTTTCTCCCCGGTATGGATGAAAAAGTGGGCTTCCAGCGACGCCTCCGACTTGAATATCAGCCCGCAGCGGGGGCAGGAGATCCCTGGTTCCTTCGCCTTTCTGGATTTCTTCCCCTTCGGCGCCTTCTGGTCCTTCTCGATCCTTTTTTTCGGTGCTTCCACCGGCTCCGCGCTCACCTGTGGCCAACTCTCTTCCACGATGGCGATGTCACTGTCCGACCCCGAGTTCTCGGCTTCCTCTTTGATCCACACAGCCTCGGTTCCGTTTTCCGGCCCTGGCGGACAATCCTCGAACATGTAGATGTCATCGTCGTACAGGATTTCGTTTTTGATCAACGACGTGGAGCCTTCGCCTGGACCTCCGATCTCCTCTTTCACTCTCACTTCCGTTTCCATGGTCACTGTGATACGTTGATGAGTTCTTCCGATTGGATGTGAACGGTATCCACCTGGAGAAACAAAAATACAAAATTAATCTTCCCAAATCTTCCAGAAGTTGACTGATAAGGCAAAAAAAAATTGATAAAATTCTTACTCATACTTCCTCAGCGGTTTATGTCTTGGAAAACTCAATCTATGAGTGGAAATTAACAACGTGGCAATTGGGCTAAATTTTTCAATGAAGAACTACTATTTCTAGCTCATCCAAAAGAAAAAAAAAAAAAAAAAAAAAAAAAAAAAAAAACTTATCTGCTTAGGGGAAATAAGGGCGTATAGGTTGTTCGTGAAATGAGTCAGAAATTGCAGTTCCTAATTGCAAAATGTAGTCCAAGCGAACAAGCGGTTTTTCTTAAAGAATCGTCCCACATTTTGTAAATGGCAAAATACATATGAAACAAGATTTTGCAACTGATCACTTGTCCCGCTGGTTATTACTAATGGTTATTTTTTTCCGTGCGTAGCGCGAGTCTCCCGAAAAATAACCCATGCGTCGAAAAATCAAAATCAAGATTGTTTCACCTAAGTTGATAAAAACCTCTCGACTGAAAATTTTTCCACAGTGGAATCGATGATAAAAGTCGCAAAACACTCCTCTACTCTCTTTGTCTATCTCCACCCACTCTCTTCGTGACTGGACAAACCAACTTTCAACATTATAACTATCTGTAACCTGGTCACAGGTTCGCTTTTCAAGGACATACTTCTTCTAAACTGTTATCAAATCAGGGTTTTCGCCTGATAATTGATTCACTTAGGTAATAATTCTAATGAAAAATGACTCAGTGGGTCATTTCGAAGGGGACCACCTCGTTTTCGGTCGAATCCGAGAACTTTCGATTTTGACCCTCAAAAGTTAGTCAATGGTGTCCCTGTCGATTTTTCTCGATTTTCGAAGGAGGAAAACAATATCGAGAAAAGAGTCGAATCCTACGTAGTTTGATGCATAGAGTCGATTGCGCCTGGTCCCGAAACTCGCCGGAGCTTCCTGAGCCGAGAAACGAGTGTTTTCGACCGTTTTTTATTGCCGTTTTTGATTTTGACCGTTCGTGTCGCACGCATCCCATTTTCCGCTGATCGTGAGCTCCAATGAACTCGTGGAGCATTTTAGACCCGCAATTCCGACTCAGCGGGTCATTTTCAAAGGGAACACTTCGTTTCCGGTCGAATCTAAGAACTTTCGATTTTGACCCTTAAAAGTTAAGCCCTGTCAATTTTTCTCGATTTTCGAGGAAGAAAAACAATTTTGAGACAAGAGTCGGATCCTACGAAATTTGAGCCGATTGCGCTTGGTCCCGAGACTTATCGGGGATTCCGGACGACCAAACGTTATTAAATACGGATGCTAGGACTTGGTGAGTTTTTTGGACTACCGCTCTGTTTTTGTGCCGGAGTATCTTGATTTCTTTTGCGAGGATAGCTCTGTTTTCTTGAAGGATGCCTGTCAATCTTGATACGTTGGAGCGCCTTGAATTTCTTTTAACACCTACGTAGCGAAAAAGTTGCTTGAAGCGACGACGTGGCACTCCGCGTCCGCGGTCTTTTACGGGCAACCGCGTTACATGCGCACAGGCGCCTACAAACCTAACAGGGATACTTCACGCATTGCGCAATGCGTGAAGTATCCCTGTTAGGTTTGTAGGCGTCAGCGCGTTTCGTGCTGGCAGCGCGCCGCTGAGTGACCCACTGGGTGTGATTTTCTGATGCCGCAATCTCACGCTGAATTTAGCAGCTGAATGTGGCAGTCAACAGTCATCGCCAAACGGCTGAAATTTCGCAAATTCGAGTTATTTTCATCCAGATGTGTATCAAATCTACTCGAATAGTTCGGACAAATCCAACATTAGTCCGATGGTTGCTGAGAATCGTTGCTGAATTTTGCGCGGGACGCGCAAAATTCAGGTATCGGGCCCATGACTTCCACATTCAAGCCACATTCGGCGTATCATTGCGGCATGACCAGAAAATCTCCCGAACCCGGTGGATCGCGCGGGGAGCCTCGGGACCGCGCGCAATTGGACTGCATTTTGCAATTTGGAACTATGAATTCTGGCTCTTCTGGAAAAACACGTATGTGCATTGAGAAACTAATGGCACATACGTTCACGGAAAAAAAAAGAATTGCTGATTAAACAATTCATTGCTAAAAACAGTGAGTGCAATGTTTCAACGCAGATTTTACAACAAAAAAATGCTACTTTAACCACATTGTAAACTAATTTAACCACGGGGGTGGTTTAAGTAGCATTTTTTTGTTGTAAAATCTGCGTTGAAACATTGTACTCACTGTTTTTAGCAACGAATTGTTTAATCAGCAATTCTTTTTTTTTTCCGTGTTGTTTTAAAACCGGGATAGAATTTATAGTTCCAAATTGCAAAATGTAGTCCAATTGATCCAGTACCTAGGATCTACTACTATAATTTCGACTACTATTTAGGATTCAACACTGATCTTGAGATTTTTCTTCTTATCGAAGATCGAGAAAAATCGACAGCGGTACCATGGCGTGAATGGGGCTGTTTTATGCAAACGATACAGCCGCGACTGAATACACTTTTATAGGATGAATTTGCTCGAAATATTCGCACTTTGGGCTCATCAAAAAATTCCGAAATCCTCTCCTTAGCAAGCAAACTGCGAAGTTTGTAACCAGCTTTTTCAAGTTTCCCACGTTTCCGGGCGGTTCTTCTCAGTCTCCGCGCCGACGAGGTTTCCGCAGGCAGAAGAGTGAGAGGGAACTATCCATAGAGAAAAAAAAGGAGGTGTTTGCATTTCGGGCATCTTGGAATTTTTCATAGAGTATCTATAGCTTTGATGACGTCATTGGGTACAGCGACGTTTTTATCCTGTCGATTTTCTTGGAAATGGTGTAATTTAAGGGAAAAAGTCATTCTATAAAAAGTGCTTGAAATTAAATAAAGAGTTGATTTAAGTAAAAAAATCGGACATTATGGTCCGTTTTTACAGCGTCAACATAACCCTCAACGAGCGTCTTGTTTACATTGATGACGTAGGTGGGTACAAATCCTCAAGATGCAAACA